ATGTGAAACTAAATATTTGTATTATATATTTTGCTGATGTAGTATATACAGATTATGTTTATGTGATGTAAACAAACGTGTTTGAGGTTAAATTTAGTTTGAAAGTAAGTTCCTAGTGTGTCGTTAAGGTTGTTTCTAAATAAATAAAGTTTTCTGTATAACTGGTTGTGCTCATAAATATTGATTGCATCTTTGCTCTTACTAATGGTCTTGATGACTTTTCAGAAAAACCCGTAAAGATGCGTGGAGTTCACTACTGAGTTTAGAGGGTCAATTGGGTGTCATCATGAGGGTTATGTTTATATGTCATTTAAATTTAAATTGTATTTTTATGTATCAGGTTTTTAGATTAATATTATGGTCTGTAAATAAATAGGGCTCATGACAAGCCATTCCACTAAGGGGTTTGGTGAATTTTTATATGATTATATTTATACAAAGTAAGGTGAAAAAAATAAAGGGCAGGGATATATGGTTGTTAATAAGTTTTTTTTTTGATCGTATTGTGACAGATATTGTACCCCGGGTTAGGGTGTTACAACTCTTGTTGTTGGTCTACTTTTTCCCCAACTTTAGGTTTCAAGGTAGTGCATTAGGTGTTAACTCGGCCAAGAAGTCTTGCAACTACTTGTCCCCTAATTGTTGTACAAAGATGAGAAGTAATATCATATTCTTCGAGCTCGAATGCCCACTTTGATATCCTTCCAGATATGTCAGTCCTTCTGAATAAGGCTTTCAGAGGTTGATAGACTAGGACCTTGATTGGGTTTGCCTAAAAGAAAGGTCTCGCTAACATAGTAAACTGGCTTCTATCCCTTTCTAATTTCTTCATCAATCCCCACTCACTGCATACTCGGTGACGACGAGGTATATATACAACTCCTCATCCTGCTTCGGGGTTGTTAGGAGTGGAGGTTCTACAAGGTAAGACTTTCAATCCTTTAATGCCTCATCACATTCGTCGGTCTAGATGCTTCCCCCCTTCCGTTTCAAGGCTTTGACTAGCTCAGGGTTAACCTCTATTCCTCCCTTGGTCACTAGAAATCCTTGGCATATTTTTCCACCTTGGCCATCAATTGGTCCATATTGAGGGCAGGGTGTCTAGAAAATGACTGATGGTCTCCCAATAAGGACCGAGCATACTCTTGTAGTATCGCATCCTACTTCTTCTTCAGAGAAAGTAGCAGCTCAATATCTTCCAGGTGCTTGCTGCTGGGGAAGAATCGAGCAGTAAACTGCTAGTTTTATCCCATTATACCAATTCATGGTTGAATCTCCCAAGCTTCTCAGGAATATAGTGCATATTAGAGCTTCGTTTTTGCTGTGCATTGCCATAAACTATCTATAATGGTGTGTGTAGGTAGAAGGATCTATCTTGCCATTATAAAGTTTGAAGTTTGGCATTCGAACTTGCAGGTTATTCTTTCTTCCTCTATCCTTTGAGTAAAGGGGGAAACCTCCACTCCCCTCGAGGATTCCCCTGTGGCCCTCCTAGCTAGTTCTTGTGCAAGTCGTTGTTTGGGATTCTTCAGACGACTATCAAGTTCTTTTGTTATAAAGCACCTCCAACTATCGTCTTGGTCTTCCACCTGAGTAGACTTCTGCCTTCCGTCTCTATTGCTAGCACATCTCTACGCCTATTCTAGTGCTTGGTGGGGCTGTGTATGCAGTCGGTTTGACGGTAGGCTATTCTGGCATCAATTTCAGCGTAATCAGACCTGTCGGGGACATCATGGTTTCCCAATCCATTTAGAGCTTTCTTCAACGCCTCATTTTCTTGTCTAGGTTTTTTGCCCTCTCTTGGGACCTCCCGAGAATTGTGTCCCGACTGTCTAATCGTTCCTCAAAGGATCTTGTCAGTTTCATGAAGGCTTAGACTTCTTCGTCTGTTCGAAGAACAACCAACTGAGGATTGTATCGTCCTAAGGAGGTACCTTGCCGTTCTCTCGAACTTTCTTCATTAGAACTCCTAGAGGTGCTATCCCTCGCATCATTATCCGAGGGCAATGCTACTCGATAGTTACATTCGAGGTCACACTCATCATATTGTTGGTCATTGTGTGGTGATCCTAGTGTGCTTCATAGGTTTGACATGACTAAAGTTACTGATTTTCCACAGACAATACCAATTGTAAGAGGAAAAAATCTCGTACATTCAATTGATGATCATGGAAATAAAGTAATTTGGTTTTGAGTAAAGTCGAACAAAGTGCACATCCCCATGCAAAGTGAACAAATTTCCACAGACTGGGGTTTGATCAGTTGGATGTACTTCGATGTTTGGGTCAGTAAGAGATCTAAAGTTTAAGCAAACCAATTGTATGAAAAGAATCGTGTACCTTAGACTTAAGCTCATCTGGTATTTATAGGGGCATGTACCCACTTTAGGGTTTAGACTCGTGGCTAGAACAAGGTGACACACCTATTTTTTAATTAAATTTTCCCAAATTCGTGTTAGGTTTCCTTTCTTATTATACAGTTATTTAGGTCACATGTTTATAATGTGCAAGTATGGGATAGGCAATTTTCTTATTGGTTGTGTACTACCGCCTTTGGCTATTCGTGATAGTCTAGCTATCTTGTTGTTTGGACCCCTTCCTTATCTCTTTATTTGGAGAGTTAAGTTTCAGTTGCATACGAACTTTCTTACATTTGCTTGGTCTCTTCCAACTGCATGGCTGCCATACGAACTTAGCCATTCAATTGGGATTTTTCAATTTTGGCCGACTAGGAGTAGAATCTGTTCGGTTGATTTATCATAGGTCAGTCAGAGGCATTGTCTTTGTCGTATTGTCTTTTCTCACATTTATCACTTGCTTTTGCCACATATCCTTATTAACTGGTCAAATCATGCACAGTAATACTCTGAGCCCCCTACAAGCATAAGTAGATCAAATTTGTGAAAATATGATATAACATATTTCAACCCGAATTTAGATTATTAGTTAAAAATAGAAAATAATGTTTGAGTAACGAGCTGCAGATTAGAATCTGATTCGTTGAGAGACCGATGTAAGCTAAATATTTTAAAGATTTCATATCACGAAGGTTGCCACTTTTCGCCATATTTTATTCGTCGATTATAGTCATCTTGTGTAGTGGTAGCTTCAAAGATTCTCATTTTGAAATGGAGTATCCTGCAATTTGAATGTTCATCATATTCGTTTTTTTTGAACATTTTGCACTAATTGAAATGCACCCAAAGGCTACACCGTCCATTGTGGTCAAGTTGGCCCTAGAATCAGTTAGCCCAGCAAAGCTTTTACTTTTTTTTTTATTGCTTTATATGGTAAAACAAATAATATTATTCCATCAAACATCTTTCAACAATTTGCTACCATTGACTGCAATAATTCAAGTTAATGATGGATCATAATGATATCCAATCGATTGAAATGATTTTAAGAGAAATATCGAGATTTATTTAATGATCGAATAGGATTGATCCCAAGGATATTAAAAAGAAGATTTTTTAGCCAACTTTTTAGCTTACTGATTGATAGACTTTTGTACCGCATACATCACTTAGATTCAGCTTAATATATAAGCATGACCGACCCAACTATAGGCCACTGAGGGAATCGCTTAGGGCCCTCACCCATTTGGGACCCCTTTCATTTTCGTCCCATAAAAAAAAAAAGAAGAAGAAAATCGTGTCATAAACTTTAGTTACAGATATGCAAGCATTGTGAAATTGAGTTTTGGCAAAGGGATGTTAATTGTGTCATTGTGATGCTACTACACAGTATGCATAGATTTTGTGACATTTTTTGTGGTTATCGATCTTGTATGCCATACGGTTACATAATTTTTTTTTTCTTTTTTGTAGTTTCGTCTTCTAAATTTCATATATTATTTATTCTTTTCCCGTTTTATATAATTTCTGTCTCACTGTAAATACAATTGTATATAAAAAAATTTAGTAACTTTAATATCCAATTCGCACCATACTCTTTTATAAAAATTAGGGTAAAAATCATAATTAATCCCTGAATTTTGTCTTTCATTTTAATTTGGTCCTTGAACTTTCAATTATTCCAATTTAGTCCATTAATTATCAAATTTATCTCAAGTAAGTCCTTCTGTCCATTTCTACCATTAGATTAATATGCTCAAATGAATCAGATTAGGTTACATTTCAATTGATCTAAAGATAGAAATTGATGAAATGACTTAGTTAAGACTAAATTGATAGTTGATAGATTAAATTAGGATAATTGAAAGTTCAGAGACCAAATTAAAATCGAAGACAAAATTCATGGACCAACTATAATTTTTGCCCTAAAAGTTAAGAGAGTCTACTGGCTCTTATTTATATTAAGTTTCATTGGTTCTGACTTATTTACCTGGTTTCATTTTTTGACCTCAATATTTAATTATTTTTTATTTCCTATAATCATTTATACAAGGTATATTGCAACAAGTAATTTTTCACCTTAAATTACATATTACAAAATATAAATTTAAATATGAAAATTTAAAATATAAAATTTTAGGGCCCTATATAGAATTTTTGCCTTTGGCCTCAAAAACTATTCCTTTATGTTAATATTATACATTGTACTTGCATTTCTATGTGTATTATTCATATAAGTGATTAATATTGGAGGAAAGGGATAAGTCTGGAAGACGAAAAACCAAAATCAAGAAACGAAAAACAAAAGTTACTTAAGAAATTTTTTATGAAAACAAACGAAGAAGAAAAAAAAATTTAAAAACTTCATGGCACGGTAAGTTCCATTTCTATGTATCTTTAGTTTCTTTTTTAGTAGACTACTAGAACCACTTGAATGTGCATTGATTTCCTTACAATGAACCTCTTGGCATGCAGGTTTAGAAGAATAAGTGAATAACCAACAACTGCAAGAGATTCTCAGCAGACAAGTAGATGATGACCACTGAGAATTGGTTCTACGGCCCCATATAGAATATTAGAGACTTCTATTGCTTATAAATATGTTCATAGTTCATGTCTGAACAACAGAAATTAATACCCAAACAGAAAAAGCCATTGGAGGAGAAAAACAGAAAGAAGATCGATGTCAAGGGCAACCAGTAGTAATCGGCAGACAGTTGAAACGGTGCCACCCCGTTTTATTCACACAGAAAGGAGGCTCAGTTTCGAAAAGAGACTGGAAACAATTGAAGAAGAGAGTGAAAGTTGCTATAGTAAGTGCAACAGTGAGAAGCCCCATGCATCTGAATTATCATTTAAGGTTGATTACACCAAACCATTGGCCTCTGCCATGACTGGGTGATCAGTACTAATATTTTCTTACCAGTTGGTAATTTTGTTATAATTGTGTTAATCTCTCTCTCTCTCTCTCTCTCTTGCTTTGTAATAGAAAATATCCTTTCTTCTAACATTGTGATTGTGATGTATCCCATGAGAGATGGAGCAAGGAAAATTGACATGTAAATTTAGTGAATGATATCTCCAAATGATGCATGTACCTTTCTATCTTCTTCTTTGGCTGCCAAGGACAGTTGCTTCAGCATTCTTTTCGGTTCAAGTGTTCAAAGTGTATGAAAATTACGAAGTACCTTCCCCCTTCTTACATCCCAATTTACGTGAATCCCATTAAACATATACTATTTCCACCCCCAATATTTCATCCCGTATCACACACCCTGCACCAAATAAGGCCACCTCCTTTTAAAGATAACTAGTTCTTTGCACAAGTGATAATTACTATTTTCCCAAGTTGCAGCTGAAAGGAGGCTCTAACATGGGTTGTTGCCCTGGTTTTTGCCCTTTTTTTACTATCATACATATTCTCAATTTAACAAGGGATTCAATCTCTTTGAAGGATAGACTTCTAGCTGGATTGGTTCACCAATTTCCGGTTTTTCAAAACTTTACGACCATAGAAGAGTTTTCATCAATTGGGCAACAACTAATGCAAGTTGTATGAAGATACAAAACATGACTCATATGACCAACTTTGGATAGACTCACAAATAATTTTTATAGTGTGAGACTAATATTTCTAATAAGTAATTTGGTAATAGTCATTACAATAAGTTATAAATAAAAGAATAGTGAATCAAGATATTACCAGAAAATAAATTTTACTACAAGAAAATAAGAATTATTTTTTGGATTCTATGGTCCAAACTAATGTTTACAAAGGAATCATATAAAAGTTTATTTTACTAAGTTCTGTACAACTAAAAAATTGTCATTATTTCTTTTAGGGTGCTTTGAGCTTCATTGTAATAACTTAATTTTTTAATTTAATAAAATTATTTACCTTCCAAAACAATTGAGACTAATGATGTCTTATTGATCATGAATAGCTTCATTCAATAAAAGTCATAATTGTGCCATTATTTGGTTCCCTCGCCATAAAATTCTGGTTTTCATCCCAGATTCCGCCAAAAAAAAGTAAGGGATTTTTGGAGGCTATTGCCCTTTTGGAGACTTAATAGGCTTTAAGTCCATTCAAAAGAAATTTAAGAGTAAAAGGACAAATCATAATAAAAAAAATTAAATTACCATTAAAGCATCAGGTACACTTAATTAAAACAGATTTGAAAACTTAAAATACCTAAATTTTAGAATTTTTTTATATTACAACTATTTATCGCTCTCATATCTATCTATATACAAAGGTGGCCAAATTTTAAACTAAATCAAAATTTAAAATTCTTTAATTTTAGATCTTTCGTAAATTATGACTATTTCTCTAATGTGTATGTGTGTGTGTGTGTTTGACAAATCAGCGGTTACACCTAATTAAAACAGATTTGCAAACTAAAACTCCAAAATTTTAAAATTTTCTCGTTTTAGAACTTTTCTTTCTCATATTTATCTAGTAACAATTGCTCGTGCCGGAAGACATCACATAGTAAACAAAATAATTGTAAGCTAGATTCCCTTGAAATTTTGCATCGAACATTGGGTTAAGGAGCTCCAAAATCGCTATAAAAACATGTCTTTCCTTTCCTCAAACAAAATCTCAAAAGTGAAACATAGTCTCATATTTGCAAAAATCTGAAGCACACAAAGAATAAATGATGCTGCATGCCTTCAAATTGACAGCAAGGAGAGCAACAAAAAAAAAATCTCACATCAAACATAACTCAAACTTTAGCAATACTCAACATCCAACGTCAACATTGATCATTGAAGGCCCAAAGAATAGCCGAGCTAACTGACGTTTTCAACTGCTGACATTTGGGCTGTATTGGAATTTCTTGTGGTCACACACGCACGCACTTAAGATTTCATTTTTTTTTTTTTGTTCTCGGCAGCCAAATAGAGTGTCAAAAACTAAAGTTCAAACAAAAAATTCACATTACCCTACATTTACCTGCTGTAAAGGTTTTGTGGTTCAAATTGCACTCACCTATGGACACATTTTGTTGCTTCAAAATCTGCTGGGATCGACGGAGATATCCTAATTGATAGACAGTTTTTAGGTGACTGTTTGTAAGAGGTTCAAATGCCTTGTCCACTAAAAGAAAATTTATTTTTTGTGATGTTTTTTTGTGTCGCAAAAAAAAAAACATTGTGAATTATTTTTTGCGACGATTTTTTACAGGCCCAGCCCAGACCAGGCCCAACTCAGAGATGCAGGCCAGGCCCACCACAGAAGGGAGGAGGTTAGGTCAGGTCAGCTATGCCATCTTGAGAGAGTCAAATCAGCCACATCATAGCGAGATACTAAGTTCTCAACTAACATGCGAGGAGATCTCCTTGAGACGTGCACGTCACCACCTTCACGGAATTGTCTTGCTTGTTATGAGAATGGTGTCATTACCACTGAACTACCTCACCTGATACGAGAGCTTTAATATGTTAGGAGGCGTCTACAAATTGTAAACCCCATCTACGTAAGGGGGCATCTCACACATATCACTCACACTTAAGCACCTTACACTCCTTGATGCAATAAAACACTCAGGTCATCGTAGTTCTTCACAGTGGAGTATGTCATATTGACTAAACCACTTAAATTGTGTTTTGCTTGTGTTGACTCTCATTATTTATTACTGCATTAAATACTTAATAGGTGGTGCATAAACACGTTTTGTACATCATCAGTTAGACGCCGTTTGTGGAAACAACTTATTTTTCACCTTATTGTCTTCCCATTTTCACCTTACTATCTTTCCATTCTTTCCTACTCTTTGTGCATTTTATGAGTATTACAACTCGATCCATGAATCAACAAGGGAAAGATGACGATCAACTACATCACGAAGAGGTCCCGCCCCCGTTGACATACACTGTCGTTGAACCACAATTACCGGAGAATATGCAATTGTTGGTGAACCAAAACCAAGAACTCATCCAATTACTACTCGTTGGGCACCATCAAGGAGTCGTGCCCCAACACCCAAAAGAGGCAGCGCCCCAAGTGCCTCGCCCATCGTGCACTAAGTGCGTTCGTGCATCTTGCCTATCAAGGGCATCCATGTCCATGTCGGCACTACACCTGCCAAAGGCGCCCCGCACCTCGCCTACTAAGGCTGCTCAAGCCTGTGCTCACTTCGGCACCTCACCTACCAAAGGCACCTAGTGCCCCGCACCTTGCCTACCAAGGTGCCCTGTGTTCACCTCAGCACCTCACCTCCCAAGGGCACCCTTTTTGTGCCTCGCCTCCTAAAGGTGTCCATGCCCATGTTCATGTCAGTGCCACGCCTGCCAAGGGCGCCCTGCACCTCGCCTGCCAAGGGCACCTGGGCTCGTGCTCACCTCAGTGCCTCAACTGCCAAGGGCGCCCAACGTTTGGCTCCTTGCCTGCCAATGGCACCCTTGCCTACCTCAATGCCTTGCCTAATAAGGGCGCCTATTCTGTGCTCCTCGCACCTTGCCTAATAAGGGTGCTTGCACACCTTGTTAGCCAAGGGTATCCGCGCCTATGCTCACCTTGGTGCCTCGCCTGCCTTACCCGCCTCAGAGCCTACCACCTCACCTGCCTTGGTGCCTACTTCCCTAGTCTAGGTGCGTTTCCAGCTTTGGCTCCGCCCATTGCATCGCGCTCATCTAGAAGCACCCCAAGTGCACAATCACCCTTATTGAGGCTCTCCTCCTCGCATTTGGTGCCCTCACCTCCCGTGTCGGATGCCATGCTTCGTTAGCTCTGTCCTGTCGGCGTCCGTGCCTCTTGCGTAGTGCCTCACTGCTTGCACCTGCTCGCGTCTCCTGCTGCCAAAGCCCTCTGTCTACCCTCACCACCATCTCATTCCTCATCTCCATCTCTTAGGAGTAAGCCTCCTGAGTTGCCAGTAGCTCGGGCTAACTCAATCTCTACTCTTACACAAGGAGCCTCAGTCTTTAACTTAGTGGTTATCTCGCGAGTCGCTGAATGTTCGGCATAACTTTGCCTCTACTCTCATGCAAGTAGCATCAGTCTCCAACTTAGCGGCTCTCTCGCGATTCGTCGAAAGGTCGGCCTAACTTTGCCTTTACTCTCACGCAAGTAGCCTCAATCTCCAACTTAGTAGCTCTCTTGCGAGTTGCCGAAAGGTTGGCCTAACTCTACCTCTACTCTCACGCAAGTAGCTTCAGTCTCCAACTTAGCAACTTTCTCATGAGTCACCGAAAGGTCGGCCTAACTTTGCCTCTACTCTCGTATAAGCAGCCTCAGTCTCCAACTTAGCGCTTCTCTCATGAGTCACCAAAAGCTCGGTCTAACTTTCTATCTGCTCTCATGTAATCAACCTTAGGAGGTGCAAGTCTTTCGTGAGCCATTCACGACTCCTCCTTTACAACCCCATCGTGTCTATGTCTGCCTCATCAAATTTTAGCTGCTAAAAGAGTATAATGACAAGATTTATTACTAATGCCCTCTCCCCCAAATCCCATTAGGCTCGAGGCATGTGAGCAAATGACAGGCCCCGCCCAGACAGGGCCCAACTCAGAGGGATGCAAGTCAGGCCCACCACAAGAGGGAGAAAACGACGTCAGCTCAGTCGTGCCATCTTGAGAGAGTCAAATCAGTCGTGTCGTGGCGAGAGACTCAATCCACAACTAACATACGAGGAGATCTCCTTGGGACGTGCATGTCACCATCTCCATGGAATTGTCTCACCTGTTATGAGAAGAGCGTCACCTCTATCAAACTACCTCACCTGATACGAGAAATGCGCCTCAATATGTTAGGAAACGCTTATAAATTGTAAGCCACATTAACAAAATTGGGCATATCACTAACACTTGAGCACCCTACACTCCTTGATGCAATAAAATACTCTGACCATCTTAACCCTTCATAGTGGAGTAGGTCACCTTGATTGAACTATTTAAATTATGTTTTGCTTGTGTTGACTATTATCATTTATTACTACTACATTAAATACTTGGCAAGTGGTGCATAAATACGTTTTGTGCATCATTAGTTTTATTTCGTGGAAAAATATTTTGCGTCGCAAAATTATATTTTGATGTCGTTGAAAAAATATAATATGAAAATTGGGGCTGAGTCTTCCTTAAGGGACTTATAATGAGTTCAGTCTGT